TCGTGTAAACGCCGCATCTGACTAATGACGTTTCGACATCACTCCCAGGTACCCTGAAGGACACACAGATATCTTATTAATCGGACTTCTAGAAAATGTGACACCCTCGACATCCCACAACTCCAAAGCCCATTACAAGGAAAGCTTTACCTTTTTTTACCAGTGTACTCATCTCAACTAACCTTGATCCACTAACTGTCCTGCTTATAACATCTAGGCACGAACCGCACAGAAAACACCGTTCCTGTTGTCGCATCCACTGTTGCATGACAGGAATCTGTTGACTAGCAACAGGCGTTGTTTAAGAGTCATTAGTTAGTAACGGATCTACATGCTACTAGGGACGATACATCTCAGAGAAATCGCTCATGGTAGTGCTGTAACCTCGAGGAACACAATACAACGTGCTGATATTACTCGAAACCTTGCAACGGATTGTTAAAAAAATAAATACTGCCGCGGCTTAAAGGGCCCATACACGTACGAGTCTGGCTAGTGAGTCGGACTCGGCTCGGGTTCCAATGACCCAAACTCATCCGTGTGTGGGTCGCAAAGTTGGGAGTCAGCTCATGCGTTTGTGGTGAAATTAATCTGAGCCCAGCTCCCGAGTCAAGCTCACCGAGCCAGACTCGTACGTGTATGGGCCCCTTTATAGTCTGATAAGGCGGTTACGAAACAAGCTGAACTCTCTGCTCCGAACATAAAGAGAGCAATTTCTTTCTGAACGCTGGGAACCTGTCTACCAAAGTACATGGCGTCACACTTTCAAGAAGACTGTGACTTTAACATTGACCGATGTGAGTGCCGCAAACGTCATTTAGGGTGAGGCCACACCAAGGAAACTGGCAACAGCAACGCAACCACAATGCAACAGCAATTTCCAAGAATTGTTATCGGCTTGAGTTGAACACATGTTATTGAATGGAGCAGAGCAAATTGAGGAAACTAAACAGGAAACGAGCAAGTCTGCCCAAAATGTTAAGGTCTGACCCAGTATCCTTTCTGTGCTTCCTTGCGATTTTCCTCAGTTCTTCCAGGAAAACTGAGCCATACCCCCATGATTAGATAACGCGCGCTTCCTTCAAAATCCTTTCAAATTAAGTACACGTATTTGTTTTATTATCCTTAATGGGGTGAGACTGAGTCCACTTCGAACTGCAGCCACTACTGGCGCCGGATTGTGGAGCAATTGGTGGAATGAAGATTGGTAGGGGAAACTGAAGTACTTGGAGAAAACCTGTGCAGCGTCACTTTGTCCACCACAAATCCCACATGACCAGGCCCGGGCACGAATCCAGGCCGCCACAATGGGAACCCAGCTACTGACAACCTGAGCCATGGCACGACACTAATTCATTATTTGCCAATATTCACTACACGTTGTAGTCTGAATTATTGCTGGAGTTGTTAAATAAAAAAACTAATTCACAAAAGAAATTGAAAATGGATTTAGTTTTATACACATATCGCATCTGTTTTCATACCATTGCTGTGTATTGATGCTCGAAATGAATTTGTTAATTAACACAAACAATGAGAACACGATTCAATTTACCTCGTCCAAAAATAATTAACTCCAATCTAAAAGAAATTGCAGCAATACACACACACACATATCTATATAAATAAAAATGTAACTGTTGGTTTGGCTCTCCTCCAAGATCTCTGAAAGTTCTTCACTGATTGCTTCGAAATTTTGACACAATGTTCCATTCGAACACGCGCATTTTTATATGCCTATTATGTAGATGTCACACCCATGACAGGTAAAAACAGGTAAAAGTATTAATTGTTTTCAATATTAATATGCTGTAACGTGTTATATATCGTCCATCGAATACCAACAGATCGTTGCCTAGGAATAACCGTGGCAACGAACTGTTGACACAGTGGGTCGTTGCCTAGGAATAACCGTGGCAACGAACTGTTGAAACAGCGGGTCGTTGCCTTGGAATAACCGTCGCAAGGAACTGTTGAAACAGCATATCATTGCCTTGGAATAACTGTGGCAACGAACTGTTGAAACAGCAGAAATAATGCATTTCTGTGGCAACGAGCACGGAACAT